ACCTATTCATTTGGTTCTTTAAGTCTCAAGTATGAATTATGTTTTTACATTGTGTAACTTGACCAATATTATATGATAACAGGGTCACCGAAAAATGGGCCAATTTGGTACAAAACGTTTGGCCATAGAAGTCAACGAAGTGTAGGGTGTGCAAAATTATGCCTGCGTCACCCCTTCGGCACCAAATACGTCATATGCCTACGTTATGTTTTTTTTTTTTGCACCAAACATGTCATTGAAATCCTCAAGCCATCTACAAGACTAATCACTCAGGAATTTGTAATATCATCATCATCATCATATCCGTCGTCCCTGTCGGGCGGGGTAAGTTGCTGCACCACCGTACTCCACAGGGATCTGTCCGCCATGGTTTATTTGAGGTCTTGTAAATCAAATCCCGTGTCTCTGGAGATGGTTCTTGGGTAGGTCAGTTTTCTAGTATAGGTTTTGCCGCTAGGCCTCCAGAGAACAAGTGACGAGATGATTTCTCCGCTTGCCCTAAAGCAGTGACCAGCGAATCGAACACGTCTCTGCTTGAGCCTGTGGGACACTGGAGGGAGTTTACCGTATATGGTTGCCATGGTTAGATGCTGTTTCCAGCTGATGTTTTGTGCTCTGCGCAAAAGCTTGGTCAAGTTTATTTTCTAGCCGAGTTGTCAATGTCCAAGTTTCCGCGCCATACAACAGAATTTGTAATATAGGGCGACCTTTTAGACCGAGGGGCGCTCATAGGAGTCTTTCCTTTGGTCTTTCCATTGTGAAAATACAATTACTTCAAATTAGACTGCTTCTGTTTCAAGGACCCTGTGCGTCACCAGACACAATTATTAAGAATTATGTTCCTTATTTTCCGCAATTGTCAATTGAAAGGGTGAAACAAAAGCTAAATGTACTCAGGCGTATCACTTCAATAAAGATGAGATAAAACAATAACCTACCTTGTCTAAAAATACAAGATTAATCTACCAGATGTTTAACTTCTCTGACGTCAATTCCGAATTCTTGAGTTTAACTTTATGTGTCATTAGTGCAAACAAAGAACAGTGTAAATTAAATTAGATCGGTTTGTCTCGTTTGAGCAAGCTAATAATGTTTATGTTACTATTGCTTTTTACCGGTTTATGCGTAGGAGGATTTTGATCGTCAAAATGTGTTAAAAATACTGTCAAACATACATAAAGGCCTACTTTAAGCTGTGGTGATTTGTGTTGCAATTGGCATCATAGATTGTTTTCGTTTTCCTATTGAGGAAGGCATTGGGTACTTGATGAAGAAGAAGAAGGTCTCCCATGCTCTTATGCAGAGCGTAGGGTGGTGCCCATATCCATTTCCGTAGCCCTTGGGCGACACACAGTTGTGCAAGGCACTACAGCAGGGGGCTAGTCCGCTGATCACACATAGGGTACTTAAATACTGCATTAACTTCATTGACTTTCCTACAATTCATCATCATCATGCCTCCGGATTATCTAATACACTTGATAAAGTTACTCCAGTATGCCCTATCTCTCATAGTGGACACTAATGCAGGCCCTGCGAGACCAGTGTCTCTCTCTAGCATGGACTAAGTATACAATTCATAGAATAGAGATTTACATTTTTATTCTGCAACCATTTTCTGTACGTCCCTTGCGTGATCACTTGACTGTCTTTAGGAAAGTTTGATCATTTCTGTTTGTCGCAAATTGACCCCCACCTACCTCACATGAGTCATATGACTAGTGGACAGTTTTATTTGACGTCATCAAATTTCCGTTGCGGGGGTAGATGTTTACAGAATATATATTGGCTGGAAAATACCATGACGTCGTCAATCCGAGAAGACTTCTTGGAATCCGAGAGGATTTTCTTTCAAACATAGTGATTTGTGAGTCACCAAAATTGGTTTCGAAATGGGAATCCTATTAATAGATTGCGTTTTTACACCATAATTTTCCATTTCCGCCTTTTCATCTCACACAGTCTAAACTACAAAAAAGTAAAACATGCCTAAATGTCTCCCAAACGAAATTATATATGATAAACATTAGGAGAAGAAGTTATTATCTATAGTTGTAGTGTTAAGTCAGTGATAAGTTATGTTATATGCAGTCTATCATTTTAGCGTGGCATCACGAAATCAAGCTACACCAAAGTGATCTATAAATTTGTCTATCATCTTCAGTACTGCACTCTCGTTTGTAAATGTACGGTTTACGTCCTTGTAGTTTTTGATGGTGTCACCATAAAACAATGTTATATTCAGCTAGATAGCTTACTAGCTTTCATGTATTTCCTCAAAACAAGAAATGTTTTTTTTGTGTACAATAAGACGGACACTACATTAAGTAGACTAGATTGCACTTGTTTTTCTTTCTTTTTCTCTTTTCTTTCTTTTTTCTCTTTCTTTCGTTCCTTTGTTCTGTCTCTTGTCTTTCATGTTTATCCGTTTCAGTACTTCAAAAAGGTGATTGACCCAATACGTTCTTGATAAAGCAAATCAGTCTTCACATGTGAGTGGCAAAGATCGCAGGGTTGTCACTCTACCTCGGTAAACAGGGACTAACTAGAACACCACCCAGTGGGTCGCTTCAAAGGACTGCTACTCCCGCCCGGTTCCCAGCACGCGATTCTGGACTCCTGGTGCGAATCTTCATAAACAGGAAACTCGAGAGAAGCTTTTTCCATATTTGTTCCGCTACCTCTCGGTATATCAAGCCTCTGTGGCATGTTTCATGTTCCATATTTGTTTAGCTACCTTTCGGTATATCAAGCCTCTGTGGCATGTTTCATGTTCCATATTTGTTTAGCTACCTTTCGGTATATCAAGCCTCTGTGGCATGTTTCATGTTCCGCATTTGTTTAGCTACCTCTCGGTATATCAGGCCTCCGCCTTGTCATTTTTTATGTTCCATATTTGTTCAGCTACCTTTCGGTTGAAACCACTTTATAATTTTGTTGTGTTTTTTTATTATCACGACTCTATGATTGTACTTAGGTTAGTTTATACCTTTTCGTTTATCATGCTATGTATGTTTTGTGCAGGGAGCTTTGAAAACCGCCAACATGCTGACCCTCAATAAACAAATAAAATGAAATGAATGAACTTTCAACCTACTAGCTAAGACACTTACGGGGATGCCTATATCGTGCATTGGAGCTTTGTTGTTATTCAATGACCTGTGGGGAGATTATGGTCACATAATGCGGTTGATTGAATCCAGCCGTATGGGCCATGTAATAAAAACGGGTCATTATGACATTAAACTGGCGCCATATAAATAACCTTGTCATTACGATAGGACTGCTTCTGCCATCCCATCGGTCAAAACATTCAAACACCATTCAGAATTACGATTTGTTTTTGTGTGTGTGTGTGTGTGTGCGTGTGTGTCAGAGCTTGTGATCGTGTAGATACGTTTGTGAAAAATCGTCCCCTTGCCAAATGTAACTTGCTGTGTTATTCAGACACCATGCTGAGACAGAGAAAACGATGAAGCATGTCATGCCTGTACGTGAAAGTTGTTCATAATTGGCTTGGCTGTTTTCTAGAGACTAGAGGCACGGGGAGCGAATTCAAAGAAAGTGTTTTCAAATCCTTCACAATAGCTCGTTCTTTGACATTCACTTTCGGGACAAAAAAAACAGAGATGGATGTTCGTTAAGCTTTCTTTCTCCCCACTTGGGACGCGTTTTCTGTGCGCAAAATTGAAACAGAACAATTTTCTTCTACCAAGCCTCAAATTGCGCTGAATACATCTCCGTCAAAGGGCGCGACACCCTGTCATTACAGAAAGCTTGTTATCGTGCTGGAAGAAAAGCTGCCGAGACCACATGTTAGCGCGGCGGCGGTTCCATATGGATCAACCCGTTCAGTTGAGCTAGTCTCCACCAGACTCCTTTGCAGGCTGAATAAATAGTAGAAATCGGCTAAGGATGTCCCTCGGATAGGACGTTAAATGGAGGTCCCGTGTTTGGGGAGAGCCACACCCCACGCACGTTAAAGAACCCGCCGCACTTATCGAAATGAGTAGGGGACCTTCCCGGTGTGAGTGGTTCAAACCTTACAGTCTGGTCTCGGGGTTGACATCTTGAAGAAGTGATAGTCACCTGTTATGTCAATCCTTCCACAAATGTGGTAAATCGTCATAAAATAAAGTAAACAAATAGAATAAGGGGGGTAACATTGACCAGAGGAGTTGGCCGGACATAGAGGGTCCAGCTTCCATGCACGCCGGGTTGTTTATGGCCTTAATGATCTGAGGTGCTAAGCTACTGCCCTTGTTCCGTAGATGAGCGGATTAATTTTATGCCCTTTCATCGTAGCGACGTTCCACAGACAAGCTGGACCCTCTATGGCCGGCCAACTCCTCTGGTCAATGATGCCCCCCCCCCCCCTCAGCCGATTTCTACTATGTACTCAGCCTGCAAAGGAGTCTGGTGGAGACTAGAGTTGAACGCCGAGAAGAGAAATGATCCTTCTCTCCTCGGAACGATCCGCACAGTTTGAGACAGAAGCGTCGGCGACCATTTGAGCCGGAAAATTGGGTGTAAAACCGCGGGGACCTCGCGGGAGAGGTTGAAAGCTAATGGTGGTGCTTTTGGTTCCAGTCGTTCTGCATGGCTATACGATGCACACGCGTGTGTCATCATAATTCCTCCCTATCTCATCCGAATACCAATCTTCAACAAAGAAGTGTGGTAAGGGTAAAGTCTACAAGTGTATCGTTTTTACCTGATGAAAAAAAAACTGTCGAATTAAGATCAATTTTCCCTGCAATTTGCATTATAACTAGGATAATCATAACGACTCAAGCAAGCTTCATGCAAAATTCCTTACCTTTTCTAAAGCACTTTACGCCCTTAAGCGAAATCTATAGCTATGACATTCAAGTAAAGTAGAATTTAAGCCTATTACACCGTTCTTAAATGTAACTTGAATCGGTGCCAATAAAATGTACTCTCTAGATTGTGTAAATGCAATATGTAAACACCCATGAGTATTATGTAAAGAACATGCCTAACCGGAACCTTTACGTATGCTTTAAGCACGCTAAACATGTAGCGTAGTTGGATTGTTTGGCCGCCCTAAACTTGCATTAGATGCGTTTAAAAAATACGTGGAATCTGTCTTACCGGCTTGGCTAAGCTTCTACACCTTGTAGCTGAGAAGAAGACCAAGAACATCAGGAGAAAGGCGGCCGGCGATCCCATCTTTAGGTCCATCTGCCTGCTAGCTGTGGTTTCCGCGGGTTCTCTTCGCTCTGTTCTGTTCTGTAGTGGTAGTGATGAAGAGAACTGTCAGTGTTACGGGCTGATGCAAACGCAAATGACCCACGAGTCTCCTTTATAAGCCTAATGGACCAATGGGAAAATCCTAACGGGGCGGAACTCGTGGTCTTTTATTGTTGGCGAACAGAGGGAGGGACTGGAGCTTTTAGCCAGACTGCTGCAGGATGCGCTAGATCATAGGATCAGGGTACTCTGGAGACATCACAAAGGATTCCTGAGACAATCTGTGAGACAATGGGCGACTTATATGAGAAGAAAGGTTCAACTTCATTGCGTTGTTCTCGCCATGGGGTTTGGCGGCGCGTACGGTTGTCCTCGAGTTGGGAGGAAGACGTTATTGAATGTTTAATTTCAGTCTCATCATCTCTTCTAGCTCTTAGTCTAATTATTCGACTGTCGGGGCATCAAAGGAGGATCTGACAACAAGTTTTCTCCGCCCTTTTTGCTTTTCTGTTCTTAACTTTTTCACCTAGGGTCGCAATAACCTAATAGATGTATTTAGCCGGTGGTGAAAATAGCAGTGAAAATACATACATTATGTTAATGCGTCTATTACCTTTGTTTCCTTCAAATTTTGCTGTTCCCATTGTACCACGCTTTCTGTTTTTGCTAAGAAAAGCTAGCATGGCAAGGACAAAAGCTTACTCTATATTAGTCCCGAGTCCTTTCTCTGCTTTCGTGTTGTTTCCTGTTTGTTTGTTTGCATTGCTTCTATACAAACAAACAACGAAAAACGTTGAATGGACGAAGCTAACTCCTGAGTTCTCTTTCCGCGTCTTTGTGGTGGATTGTGCTCGGTTGTGCCACGCGCATACTCCTGGAAGCAGCTGCATATGTCACAAGCCTAATCACATGTAGCCCATCCGCTGTACGTAAGAGTGAACATATACCGAACAGATCCTAAGAAATGATTACGAGTAACTATGTAATTTTATTATGTATAAAGCTCGTGGATGGTACACGTGGTAGACCCAGTATTTGTGGTATTTTCTACAGGAATGACAATAAACCTCGTGAGCCTGTTCAAGTTGTTGTAGATCAAATGCTCTGGTTTTAGGAATTGCGTAAATGCCTAGCCTGCTTCCATTCACACAAACATATGACGTTCGTTCATCCAGTCTTTGGCTCACTATATTTCATTCTTTAGGCCTGTGCTAATACCTCTGACTGTACAGATCTATTGAACAAGTCCCTGTGAACCTTTACCCAGTTTACAAGTCCAGTAGACAAACTGTAAATCTGTATCGGTATAGCCGGTATAACCGCCCTTCGGCGTAACACACCAGCTTCGCAGGCACGCGGCGCGGCGGCAGCTGGCTATATCACACCGAACGACTTGTTACACTGGATCTATACACATGTAATTGCAGGATTTACTAACTGTAATTGCGTAAATAACAACGTAAAGTTCTTTATGTTCGTCTTATACATTCATCCCAATTTAAAAGTTTCCAGATGTTTAAAAGAATCGTCAGCAAGGTTCCAATATGCACTCTATATTTCAACTAGATATAAGTAGATAGCCTTCGTAATTTTAGTGTAATGACATACTGTAAATATCTACATAATTCAGACTCAACAAGTCTGCTGAGTGGTATGTTGAATGGAAACTGAAAAGATGAGGAAAATTGTGGGGATGCTAGTTTATTTGCATGTCCTCGTTTTACAGTACAGAAAGTTTATTGCAAATACATGGCCGAGGGCTAATTGCAAATTCAAACAACATGTATGGAAAGGAAGGTATAGTGATTTGAGCGTCTACGTGATGCTACATTCTACACCATCCGTGGTACTAATTTTTTCTGGGTCTGACTTCTTGTTTTCAGGCAGTGGAAGACGAATTTACCCACTTCGTCTATAATATATGGGTTCTTTGATTCTAGTAGTAAAATTGTTTCCTCTTGATGAGGAATAGTGGGAACGTAATGGTGCAATTTGGACACGACGGTAAAAAGTTGGTTTCTTACATCATTGTAGAGTACAGGATATACAACTGGAAACCAAAGAAGAGAAGACCACCTGGCAGGCCAAGAAAGAGGTGGGAAGATCAGATCAGAGAGATCACACAGAGAGAGCAGAGGGACTTCGAGGAAGTGAAGAATCTGACTCAAGACAGAGCAACATGGAGGAACCTGACCCAGAGGCTGACAACTGACAGACCAGAAGGTCTACAGGCGTCCGGGTGAGCAGGTGAGCATTGTAGAGTGAAGAATTAGAAATGAAATGAATTTCGTACAGTAAACCAGCCATGAACAAAGATCTGTACACCCGGCGGTAAGGCCATACCGCCTTAATTTTATGGATGACATCCGCGCGCGCATTGATTTTCGCCTGTTCTCAAAAAAAAATGGAAAAAGAAAAAAAGGACGTCCTCCGAGGCTCTGGCCTGGCTCTAGGCCTGGATAGTCCATGGTAGTTAGCGACAATACGGCCCGGAGGTGGTAACTCTGGAGGATGACACCCAGGCTACCGAAGCTCGACTCAAGAACTCAATACATACGTACAGTGCTGATTCATAAATTACGCAGAAATCCAGCATGTGCCGGCTTGTCGTAGACGTCGCTATGTACTCCTGCAAATTCACAATACCAGCTTCCTGTGATTTAGTAGTATTTTTATTTTTTTTATTCGCCCGCCCGCACTAGTTTGTGGGTCTTTAGAGGATTTCATCCGTAAAATATTAATAAAGTCAGTTTGATCTAAGCTAATCAAATCTCCGAACCGGAGATGCAGCAACACTCCCTCCCGTGGTGACATTCAGAACCGGCTGAATCCGTGCACTCATTTCCGCTGCACTGATTCAATCATGTTTAGACTGAATAACAGGAGGGCGATCCTGTCCTACAGCAAAAACATCGAGCTAACATCTACAAGCTAAAGGGGGAAGCTTGACTATAAGGCTTTCTGAATGAAGGAGTGACTGAAAAAACAGTCACTGCGATGAATGCTGGATCGGATAAGAGAATATATGAAACAAAGCATGCTCGTTCCACACACTCTAATGTCTGTCCTCTTTTCTTCAACAACGAGGTAGCAAGGATAAAACATATTTTAGAAGAAAAAGAAAGAGACAGCTGCGAATGACTAGAAGGTTTTCTGAATGAATGAGTGAATGAAAACATGGATGAATGAGAATAAATGATTGAAGAAGAGAATGTATGAAACAAACGATACTGATCTCCACAATCTGATAAATAATGCCTGTCCTCTTTTCTTCAACAACAAGATAGCAAAGATAGAAACATATTTTAGAAGAAGAAAAAAGAGACAGCTGCAAACGATTGCAGCCTGACGCCTTTGGCGTCCGATGATAGTTCCACTTACATAAGCTGTCAGCGCCCGCGTTGGCTAAGCAGTATATCATATTCCCTTCTGCTTAGCCTTAGTTTACCTGAATGTTTATCCAAACTATTCCGTTACTGCTTTGGCCTTTGATATGTTTCTGTCCGAAAACAAGTTGCTTGGGTTATCGTGAAAGTAATTTTCGTTCACGTACTTAAAGGGACCATACCAAATGTTCTAACTTTTTTATCACAACATCTTTTGAAAGCTCCTTGATCACAAGAAGCGGTAACATTGCCCCTGCTACACCAAGTAGGATACCATTCCTATTCTTCAAGCATTGGTTGTGGTGGAATGATCATTAGCTTTTTATATATGGCCCGTTTTTATTTGTCGCTACCCCCACCTTGGGTCGCGCATGGTCCCTCTCTGGCCAACGAATACTGCCTGGCCAATTTGATACTCTGTTTTTGAGACCCTAGGATCTGCTTGGAGATTAAGCTCTCCTGCTCTCTGAGATATTGTCAGAGTCATTGTAAACACGCATTCAAACCGCGCTCGCAAATTGTAAGCATCAATTTACTCATTGACGCGGAAGCATCCGTCGCAGACCATTGCGCGATTTTGATGATGTCGCGGCGTTTTTAGGCAGACCGTGACAGAAGCAAACGCCGACATAAAACGAAGGCAGACTTTTCCGTAACAAGACAACTGAAGTTTACACGACAATCCCAAGAATGCCCTCAGTTTGCGATCGTACGACCATCGCACGACTTTAATGCGACCAGGCTATCATCATCTAGTCGTGAGCGTTTCACGGATGTTCATGACTCTTTTTTTCCGCCAGCCGTCCCTATCCTTCATAGCACTGGGCAGGTCTTCCGACCAGGGTACAGACCCACAAAATTTTAGCTCTTGAAAGTTCAACCTCCACGAAAACAAAATCATAGTCCGCATGCAAAATTCGAGTATCCATAAGCAGGGAATGAAACCAAGATGCTCTCCCTCTTCTCCAAAATCCTAGCACCTCTTACAAAATGTTCAATTGTGGGGGTTCTCTTAGTATTTTCATGAAAATTCGCTGATTTTTTTCCTCAACAACTGATTAGGGAGCACCTCTCCCCTAAAAATTTCTGGGGAGAACCCTGAATAAGTCGATGAAGGTTAGACATCCAGGTACTAATAATAAGATACGCCAAAAACAGTTACTCAAGCAACTGGATATGATGAAAACGGTGCAAAAGCTCGTGCTTATAAACCTGCATTTCTCCTGCAGTCTCTTAGTGTCACTGACAAAAGGTAGTGGATGCTACCTGAAACGTCTGACCGTTTCCAAAATCATATCCAGTTGCTTGAGTAACTGTTTTTTGACAGACCCCCGATAAGTTGAAGCTCCGTGCACTTACCTCGACTGGACGCAGTGGCAAGTCCGAACTAAGCGTTATCCAGTGGTGGTGTCTGATATAGGTGTGCGGGGGTGTGGAGGTAACGACTCATATACATACCCGTGACTCCGCTTCCGGGGTTTGTACGTCAGAATCGCAGGAGGAGCCGCTCTTCCGTTTAATCACTTTTTTCAGATCCTCCTCCTTTTTTTATTCATACGACGGACGGACGCACGTAGATGCTGAAGGGAACCGGAGTTTAAAACAATGCTTCTCATTGGTTGGGAGCGACCACGTGGCTTCTGGTTGCTTGTCAGCTGAATTGAAGTCACGAGAAGTGCAGAAATGACTCAGAATCATTCTTTAAAGGCATCCAATGCAGTTTTTAGGGCTTACAAAAACAATACAAGTCAATATTCTAATACGTATATACATACTGAGTTGAAACCTCACTATCCCTGTGTATATTGACCCTCATGGAGCAAAAATTCCCAGATTTCTGACAGAAAATGGTCACTGGAAGGGCCCTTGGCTGATTTTAGGGTACCGCCCAGAAAATTAAGGACTCTTCTTGGGGCTTGTTGCTGCATTTTTAAATACACAAATTATTAAATACTGATTGAAATGTGCTACATGTAATGTGAAGCAGTATGTGTCAATATCATAAAGATTGCTTTATTCAGAATACATGTATTTCCAGTTTTGCTGCTTTGAAATTGCATTGGACGTCCTTGTGTCTTTTCTTCACGTCAATACACAAAGCACGCGTCTTAAAGACGCTCGTTGGCAAATTCCAAGAATTGCCGCTTAAGTCTTAATACAAAATAATGCTCCCGGACACCAATACTCCATTACAGTGTAAGCTGCTTAGGTAAAAGGCATTTCGCAACATCCTTAGCGTACATTTGCAATGACAGCTGTGGGACCTGGAAGTACTGCCGGTATTCTGTTAAGTGTTCAATCTTTCAGTTATAACTTCTTCGCGTATCTATATAAATTAGAGAAAGGCCAGAGAGAATTGCTGGTTGTATGGGGCAATTATATGGGTGGCTTGTGGGATAAGGAATATCTCTGTGTACTGCACACAGGTATTATCATACTCATACATGTACGATAATGTATTCAACCACTCTATGTAGAATATGGCCTCCCAAACGCTATGTGCGTATGTGTGTGTACACGTGTGAGTGTGTGTGTGTGTGTGTGAGTGCATGCGTGTGCGCGCGCGTGTGTATGTGGCGTGTGAGTGAGTTCGTGCGTGTATTCGCATGTCTTTCCTAGGTATTTGAATGTAGTAGGGTGGTATAGGAAGGGAGGGGGCGATTTCGTAACCACAGCGGGTCCACCCACATAGTTACTGCAAGTCACTTGAGGTACCCACGATGGTCTTGCCATAAGAAAATAGGTTTGTGCACTTTCTGCGTCTCAGCTTGCTTTCTGCCCTAGAGTCGTTGTAGTACGTTTCAGGTTTGTTGATGAAGGTTAGACATCCAGGTCAACGATATCCATGTACAATTTAAACTCTACTACAGGATAGAACACGAAAATCACTTCCAGATATTAGGGACATCCATTGATCACTATTCAACTAGCTAGCACTTGCCTAAAAGCATGGAACAATGGTTGAATATGACTTGTAAGTGTCACTGAACTCTAAGGGTCAATGACTCGTAGGCATCACCATCCCATCTCTCGTGGTAAGAAATTCCCCGGGCCGCTTACATTGCGCCCGGAGGTTTGAAATATACAATTTCTTGCCCTTCATTGATATCTTACTGTGAAACAAAATGATACTGATATCATGGCGTCATATTTGCTTTGAACATTAATAGCTTATTATTTTTTACTCCAAGGCAAACGGTGACTTACCAGCTACTTTGCTGTGGTATATGTTACCGCAGGGTCTAATATATAACGGTGATATGATTGAATGTTTTTTGTTTCAATCTTACTGTGACTGATATCAGGTTTGACAGGAAATTTGTTTTGGAATATTTTACGTCAAAGAATAACATAGCGAGACGTGGAGAAAGTATTTAAAAGGCTAGTAAAGATAACCAAATACGGTTTATCAAACACTAAGTCAAGAAAATGGGCTTGTCAACGCCCTACTTTTTGACGTATTCCATTCGCCTCGATGGCAGAATAACGTAAGATGAAAACGCCCCCGTCCCTGTCTGGTATGTGTGCTGTGTGTCGTTCACCCAATGTCATTGATCTAGAAGTATCAACTAGAGCTTCCTGGGAAAAAAGTCCTTGATTGTTATTTCATATGCACCGTTCTTAGCCACTTACCTACACAGTAAAATAGGCCACAAGTTAACATTTACTGAGAGTATAGAAAGAAATCTCGTCTCATATGAATTCAACTACCTTCTACAAGAAGATAAACCTTGCTGTGTACACATAGGTAAATATATCAAACAATGTTTAGACCATAGAACAAGTAGTATAAGTGACACGCCTAATCAACGACGTAGGTTAATTTTTTGTATCCCCGTTTATTTTATTTTATTTTATGACGATTTACCACATTTTTGGAAGGATTGACATAACAGGTGACTATCACCTCTTCGAAGATGTCAACCCCGAGACCAGACTGTAAGGCTCGAACCACTCACACCGGGAAGGTCCCCTACTCTTTTCGATAAGTGCGGTGGGTTCTTTAACGTGCGCGGGGTGTGGCTCTCTCAAACACGGGGCCTCCATTTAACGTCCTATCCGAGGGACGTCCCTAGCCGAAGCTAGGTACTCATTTACACCTGAGTGAAGTGAGGAAAGTCGTGTAAAGTGCCTTTCCCAAGGGCACAAGATCGGTGACATGGGCAGGGTTCGAACCCACGACCTCTCGGGTGTGAGCCGAACGCGCTACCGACTGCGCCACACGACCCCATGACCCCGTTTAGCTACACACCTTAAGAAAGTCGCTGTACGTTTTGGTGCGTCAATACAGTATCCCATAGACATCTAAAACAGATAAAGACCATTATGGCTGATCGCACGGTACATCTACTGTCGTCCTCAAACATGCTGAATGTACAGGTCGATTCCCCTGAACTATTGAATCCGCTCCATTAGCCACCAACCCTAACGGTTATCACCAGTTCCCCTGTCAATACCGGACGTCTAGAACGCATATTGGTTATTCGCTTCCTTAAATTTTATTCGAACTATTTGTGAAAGGTGCGTACTAGTTATGTACTAGTTTCCAATATCTTTGTAATTTTTGTAATTTTCTTTGTATTATTTTATTTTATTTTTATTTTATGACGATTTACCACATTTGTGGAAGGATTGACATAACAGGTGACTATCACCTCTTCAAAGATGTCAACCCGAGACCAGACTATAAGGTATCATGGTTATCATTTATTGACTCTAATGTGCATAAAATGGATTTTGTGCAGTGATTGCTTTGATCTAGTGACGTACGTAGATGAGCTAGATGGATAAGAACATCATTAAGGCCATCGATTTCTGTATTAAGAGGTTCTAGACATTGTAATAATGACAAATGACTTCGCTTTCTCTGAAGTTATGCAATGATGCCATAGAATGAATAATCGTGCATGTAGCACACAATGTGTTGCGACCAGTCGGCTATTTCTATCACAGAGTGGATCTTGCTGTCACCAATGTTTAGAGTTAAATGTGCAAAGAAGGTTAGGTATGAAAGTTTGTTCGGTGTATTGTAGCCAGCTGCCGCCGCGCCACGTGCCTGCGAAGCTGGCGTGTTACGCCGAAGGGCAGTTATGTCGGCTGTACCGATACAGATAAAGATCGTACATATTGTAGTTTTGTAGTTACCTTTCGTGAACTCTGCATGTCAAAGCCATGGGAAATGTAATGGATGATTTAAAGTGTACGATATGTATATATAAATATATATGTTATACATAATCTTATCATTGAACCGAGCGGCAGCGACAGAAACCTCATGTTAGGAGCCATCATAACAATGTTAAAGTGTTTTGCACGCCACCGTGGGTTGGCTGGCGCCCCTCTACCCAGACGATTTAATTTCCTCTGTAACTGCGCTTTCACCGACGGAACAAACTCCTGGCCGTGTGTTCTGGTGCCGCCTACGTGAGAGCTTTTTTTTCATTTTTATTTTGTTGAAACTGTGGGACAAAGGCAGCTGTTGCTGGTGTTGTGTCCCACACATAGAAACAAATACAGGACAGACAGCACTCATTTTCACTTGAGTTAAGTGAGGAAAGTCGTGTAAAGTGCCTTTCCCAAGGGCACAAGATCGGTGGCATGACCTCTTGGTTCCGAGTCGAGCACTCTGCCGTTACGCCACACGACCACATGAGAGCTTACGTGAGAACTTAGTCGTTACCTGTTCCGTAATCTCCAAGTAGGGAACATTGAAACATCAGAAAGATGACCAAAGATATCACATGGAAACATTAATCATCCATTAGCACGAGAATGGTCTCAGCTGCGAAGATTCCGCGGGTTAATTTCCGGAGCCTTCTCTTGTGTCAGACTAATTGATTGATGTCCCAAATAAAGCAGCTTCGGTGTAATCGGGCTGATGTAATCAATGTGTCCGCGTATGACGTAAATAGAGACACGTCAGATACGTCAAACATCGTCTGTCGTCGCTTTCTTGACTCTGTTCATTGTTTTTTTTTTCATTTATTCCAACATTTCATGACTAGACATTCAAGTTATATCAACTTATTTTATGCCACCACCAACGCATGGGACAAATACAAGACAATACAATACTCATTTTTACTTGAGTTAAGTAAGGAAAGTCGTGTAAAGTGCCAAGATCGGTGGCATATCAGGACTCGAACCTGGGACCTCTTGGTTCTGAGTCGAGCACTCTGCCGTTACGCCACACGACCCCACTGTACATTGCTGCAGCATGCCAGGAGACCATCGTTGTCAAATCTACTTAACCACCATGACCTGTACTTATCTTGTAAGAGCACAAACCTACATCCTTGAACTAGTGAGATAATGCAATATAGCTAGCACGTCAGCAGCGAAAAACGTTATTAGAGGAGTCACAATCTTATTAGCTGCTACTTACGATAACCGAAGACACATCGATAGTGCTTGGGCTGGTGTGGTAATCACTTTACCTCCAAATCAACCAGTAGGTAGCTTCTTGACCAAAGTATTAAATAGGAAAGCCTGTCCTTTTCAAATAAAAGGCCGTACTTTCTTCTGGACACGCAGAATAACAGGCATGTCTAGCCGATTATCAGAGGGTATTTGATTCTAATGGAAAGTCGATTCTTTTCCCCACATGAGATCAGATATGGTCTCCAGTGGGCAATTATCTTGAGGATGTGGATGACCAGAATCTCCCTAGTAATAATCTCTAGTCCCAGGAGACAGGAGGTGGTCACATCTTTACTGACGTGTGTAATTACCAGATTCAAAGATGATCAGGAAAATCCATTTTTTTCCTCGTATTTTACTTGAAAATTAGAAAACGGGGTGTTATACTTTATACAACCTGAGAAATCTTGGGCAGGTACATACTCTTTGAAGACACTTTGTCTATGAAAATCACGACTTGTTAGTGCAACTGTCCCATTTTAAGTTATATTTTAATTATCCTGTCGTCTCGTCAAGGTCTCCTGAATCATCCTGTAGCAGCATCTCTTCTCCTGAAATATCAGTATTTAGACAAGCTCGACTCACTGAGAGTGACATTACCAACTGGTCCAATGGGACTGAAGCAGAGGTTGCAAAGGTTGCTCGGGCAACTCTTCCCTGTCCTATTTAGGCCGGAATGGTTTGATCCTACTCTTTAACCCCCACTCTTCTCGATAGCTTGAAAGACAGTTGGGGGCGAGCACCCCGTCAGGAGTTGGGGGCGGTTAGTGACACCGGCCGCTTATTTTGCCCTACTTTGTAGACAATATACTGATGAATGCAGCCCTTGGTGGTATCGCGTACCGTAATGGTCAGGGCGATTGGCTCAGAACCAAGAAGTCCTGGGTTCGATCCCCTGACATGGCCGATGTTGTGCCCTTGGGAAAGGCACTTTACACGACTCCCACTGTACGGTGGAGTGATGCCAACAGGGTCTTTCGGCTAATCGTTAGTAGTGTGTCCCTACACTGATGAGGATGGTCACGGATCTGATAGCGTCAATGTGCCAACGCCTGTACACTTGCCTCTAAGAACCGTTGAATTTTTCTTATTTTTTCTTTTTTCATGACTCTTACCAACAATGTCATGAAATTTGAAGATCAATACAGTACTTAGTAGAAGTGCATGACATGCAGATTTAACATAGATGCCAATCTTTTCATCAGATTTCAATAAATGCTCTGCAGTCTTTCCCATCTGAAATAAGGTGCTACTCTATAGAATAAGAATTCACCGCCCAGTTGCCTTTCATGGGTACCTATTTAAATAAATGAATCAGTAGATTGTTTCAGTCTACTTCCTGAGCATTTTATCTAATCGTTTGAATGCTAAAGATAAAACGGCTGTTTGAAAGAGCTCTGTAATGTCGTCTTCGATTCACAGCCTGCTTTGTTTCTAATTATAAGCTGCCAACGGATGTTCGGCTCAGATCTTTCAGTCTTTTAGATGTAAAACTGTTTGATTCAGCTTAGTGAACCAATTTCGCTAACAGCACTTCACAGAGGATTAGCCACAAGAAAACGAACTCTCAAAGTGTAGTCAAAGTGGTTACATTTTCAGGTGCGCTTTATTCTAATCGACTAATGTTGCCACGTACAATTTCACTACGTACAGCTTACTGGATTGAGGTAAAAGTATAATGAGATAGAACTACGAATTGTTTGATTAAAATGTGCCATAATAAATTTCATTCTACTGCCGTTATGAAGAAAAGGCAATGTCGACGAAACTATAGGAAGAAAGAAACACAATTTACCTGGAATCTTTAGTAGGCAAAAAGGGAAGTTAAAAATCGTCTATGGTATACAGAAAAGCCAATCATTTTCTATAATGGCCTACGCTGAATGTGCTATATGTAAGCTAAGATGTGTAGGTTAGCAGTACAAATAGCAAGCATTGTACCTTTGGCATGAACTTACCATTATCAGGACTAGCTCAATACCATTCTAGAATACGAAAAGATACTTCTTTTCCTTACTCTTTGATAAACGTTGGTCAACGTAGGGCTGTTCAAGAAGAGCAAAATGCTATGGCGGCATCATAATGAAGCAAACATCTAAAAGCGGCGTTTCTCTTTCTAAAGCAGTTGTTTGATAAGCGTAACTGTTTGATAAAACATCAGTAAAGTCTACAGGCAAACATAAGGCCTAGGGGAAAATGTTGTGTTTCCTGTTTCTGTCCTGAAAAAATAGGGTCAGTAGGTAGGGATTATATTTTTCCTCTTCTTTTTTAGACTTTGCGATCCCTAGTGATCCAACCTACAGTTCAACAAAGTCAAACTTGCATGAGAACACTCATTTTCAATGTCAATGCTGGAAAACCGATTATACAACGTTTCATCATTCAGATGTCAGATCGTGGAGCTAGAAAAGATCGGTCAGCTCGGAATATCTATAAATGTATGTCCCTTGCAGGGGTCCACCAAAAAAAAGGCTACGCACTTTTTTCTAGGGTCGGTTGGGAAACAGGAAACACAACATTTTTCCCCAGGCCTAACTTCACAGTCTACTAATAACCGAATGGCACGCGGAGGTTCGTCTCTGTCAGGTCCGAGAGCTGACGGCTGGGGGGTGACCTCAGGCCGCCCACTTGCCCTTCGTGTACAGCATCTCTGTTGGCCTCCAGCCGGCGTACTGTGCAAACAAACATCAAACAACGTGAGTCAAGGGAAACACAGATGTGGTTTAGCCACGGGACGCACGTCTAGATATATCGTAACCTACTCACGTACAATATCTTAGATATTGCAATGTGAGTCCTCCATTCCTTGATTTTCGTGCTTTTGACCTTGAACGGCTAGGACGTTGAGTATAGGACTATGAGTCTGTTTTGACGAATCGGACTTTTATGTTTACTGTATGAATGAATGAATGAATGACTGTTTATTATCGTGCCATTGCGATCAATATGCCGCCCAGCCCATATGGGCTTATAAGGCACCGACAGAATACAAAATCAAAACAAATCAAAAGGTACTGTATGTTGTCTCACTGTGTGTTACAATGTCTTGTGTAATTTTGCTGGCCCCCCTTGGAAAACAGCTGATACAAGCTGAATGGGGCTACCCAGCCGTCTTGAGATGAAATAAATAAATAAAGGAAAACGGCCTGATGATGAATCACTGTGTAAACCTATAGATTCTTAGATATAAAGGCAGGCATTTTGTTTGCCTGCCTGTCTGTCCTCATACAACCTTTGGAATAGTACATATCATTTACAGTGTCGTTGAATCTCTGTGTTAACCTATACATTCTTAGATCTAACTTAAAAACAAGAAAAAGTCAATACCATTGGCAAATATACATTCTGTTTGTCTGTCCTCACAAAACCTTTGGGATAGCTCACATCCTTTAGAGTGTTCCTGAATCTCATTGTAAGCCCATACATTCTTAGATATCTAGAGGTTGTTTGCCGATAGCTGATTTTAGCATTCATCTTTAACTTGATTACAAATCCCTATCCATTCAATTTATGACGTGACAATACAATAGAATATTGTGTCTTCAGCTTGTTGAGCCCAGAGAAACATAGTGATTATGTATCTTTTGAAGCTAAATACCGTTGTTCCTGACTTGTACATGCTATGAGCTCGTATGTTTTCGAGAGTTAAAAAAAACATACGAGCTATATATAACACTATATATATATATTTATGTATATCTTAGCAGTGTCAACGTAACTGTTTTGCAGCCAAATGCCACTGTTCTCGACTTTTACAGGATGTGAGTTCGTGATGTTTTCGAGATATACAAAAAAATATACCAGCTAGCACTATTTATTTATAGAAGTGTCAACTCAAAGAGCCTTGGCGCAACAACTATATATTGTTATTGTCAAATCAAGGATTCTTTTAGCAACAACTGTAATTGTCAAATCAAACAGCCTTGACACAACAACTATAATATTAGAATTGTCAACTCAACGACTCTTGACGCAGCAACTATAACGTTATTATTGTCAAATCAATCAGCCTTGACTCAACAACTATAATATTAGAATAGTCAATTCAAGGATTCTTAAAATAACACTAATGTTAGAATTGTCAAATCAAGGATTTTCTACGCAACAACAGAATTGTCAAACCAACCAGTCTTGACACTATAATATTAGAATTCTTAAATTAACTTTGACGCAACAACAAATGCATTTGCATTAATGATGATTTGAGCTGCTGCTGAAGTATTACTTCGACCTACGCTTTTTTCGTGAATTGGATTTCTTGCGAACATGCCAAAATTGAGGTATCATAGATCGATTTCACCATTTGCGTGGTTGTCAATCATTGGAACTAAGTGTGAGTTTCTTACACCGGATTATAATCATTAGATACATGGCACTTATTGATGCTGTAGTTAATTGTCATGGCACTACTTCCACTGAAGTTGATTCAGAGTCTATTTTAGTGGTAGGATACAATATCATCATCATCATTAATCATCCTCCGAGGAGGTGTAGCATACAAAGTTAGACCTCCAGAACTTTCTGTCCCTCATCGCAGAGATACAATATACAAGATACAATATACGTCAATTAATTTCTGGTCTAATCGTTATCGGCTGCCATGGGGACTGAAAATGCTATGGAGTAGCATCGCCGATTCTACCAGATTGTAGTCTCTACCTTTAGATTTAAGGTTTCACGCAAAGAGCGTATTGGTATAGTGATGTGACATATGGATATGGCCGTCCTGGTGTACCTGGTCCAGCAAGTTGCACTATACATTCCGATTCTACTTGAGTATTCATAGCGTATTCTTCATTCACATCTCTGTTTTTGCAGCGGTGTTGGCAGAAGTCCCAGAGTTTTCTTAGCACACTCAGGGTTTCTTCGGGTCAACTGTCGTATAGTTTACCAGTGAAGCAGTCAACTTGTTTAGCACTTGTGTGGAAACCAAAAAACGACTGGGGTGCAAAAGTTTATTCCTAATACTTCCTACAGCTGTAATAAAAACTGCACATTTTGCAAGTTCACCAAACTGCAGTAGCCAACGTAGTTTTTTTGGGAAATGTATATTATTTATTCAAAGATTACTCTCCAGGCAGAGGTTTCGGGTTTTGGGATATTTTTGGCTTGGTTTTAGGCTTTTTTATCGGGGTTTCAATCTAAATCGTGTATGTACCGGTTGCCTGAAACGAATAGAATACTCAGACTTCCATTTTCTCCAATCCTCAGTACCAATCGAGTCATCAATGCCAAAGAAGACAAGAGATATTGTTGATTCGATTCTTGATCAATTCTAACTTCCCATACGTTATCTACAAACCTTGACACGTTCGTAGCGTTTTCCGTCGACGCTGTTGGAGTCTTGTCCCTCTCCAAGTAACTCTCGCAAAACTTCCACCAGACTGCAGCAAAACACACACATACATGTATAGAAATGTCACTTCAGACGTGCACATCATTTATGGCCCCAAACGTGCACTGCAATATTGTCTAAAACAAGCAGACTGCTCGAAGAAGCAGCACTTTGCTGTGTAACGTTTTAATGGCTATTTTTCTGTGCTAACGATCATGTTGACAATTTCACAAAAAGCGTTGGCCATCTTCGTCTTTGATAAACAGCTAGTACGCTTCATTGACATCTTGACAAACAACACACCGTGCGTCACGTATTACGGCAGGAGCCCTTGGCTATCATGAGCACATGTCTTACGTAAAGCACCATATCATCACGTATGGCACGTCCAACAGGGTTCCATTTGGTACGGAAACAGACCGCACAAAAAGAGTCATGGTTCCATTATCACTTTCATCTGAACGCTTATCCGGTCTTTCATCTTCCAGATGGGCACTTTCAGAAACACGTGGATCCCGCGGTTTCTCTTTTTGGCTGTGGTTCAACAAAGTGGAGTCAAACGGTCTTACGGACTCCATCCAGTGCATGTACATGTCTGTGTTTCTTATCCTTTTTTTACCGTGTACTACATGGTTGTACTACATGTTGAGTGATACTACATGTTGAGCATTTTGAGAAATGTTTTCTAATGATACATATTGAAGAATGTTGTTAGATTAATACACTAGATTGAATAGACTAGAGTTGTTGATAATCCGTCTTCCGTAGCTTTTAATTCAGTCAGTTGATGGGTTCAACAAACGTTCTTCACTTCCACTTGCCTGACTAAATTCTAACTTGTTTTTTTTCTTTCATAATTTTGTGTATTAGCAATACACAAAGGGCAAGGACAGTGGGACCTACACTCAAGTTACAACTTAATTTGCAACACCGAATACACACAAAACAATGATTATCAGCAGTTTATACAGTACAGTGTGCCCCCTCCTGGTACTTTTCGTCGGCACCCAACGGTCTGCCTTAAGCAAGTAAGCAAGGTACTTTTCTGTTTGGGTTTGACTTCTTTTTCCGAAACAGCGGAAGACGGAGGGTTGATCCCTCTTTCATGTAAATCTTACCTTTTCCGTAGAGCCAAGCGGGTCTCCAGTTTCTCCACGCTTTCTTCCAAAGAGTCGTCATCGTTGTTTGCCTCATCGATGTGGTCCTATAGAGGCGTGTAAAACACACAATAAGATGATTAAGTGTGGATGTTATGTTACTCATAATACATAAATACATGAAAAGATGGTAGCAGGTTATTGTGACATGATGTGTAAATATTACTCGGTTGATCATTTCCAAGAACCGTATAACGAGGCATGCGTAAGGGCATGTTGTTTGGCCCAGAGCCCAGAGGTCATGGGTTCGAATCCTGCAATCTCACAGATCTTGTGCTCTTGGGATGCTCTTGGGAAAGGCACTTTACACGAATTCCCTCACTCCACCCAGGTGTAAATTGGGTACCTGACTTCGGTTGGGGAGATAAAACGCACAGGATAGAGAGGGATGGGCTCTGCCTTCCAATATCATGTCCTAGATGCAGCGGATTAACAACACACTGCCCCTACGGCCTCATAAAGGCCCATAAGATTACTTTTTACGTATGCCGGTAGCGGCGCGGTTGTATTCGTCGTTGGCATTCGTGTTACACCAAAGGATAGTTATACCGGCTATATAGTTACAGAAGCTGGTGTGTTATGCCGAAGAGCGGTTATACCAGCTATACTGACACAGATACAGAACCTGGTGTGTTACGCCGAAGGGCCGTTATACTGGTTACACAAATATTGATGCGGCATTTGTGTAAAGGGAAGTTTTGGCTGTCAAATGAATACGTTCAAAGACGACAAGGCAAGGAATAAAATGCTTGAACTATCTTGTTAGTTTAGTCACTCTTGCATGGCACTGTGTTGGTGATGAGCTGCCGGCAATGCGAGGAGGGTCAAAGTTGGAACTCCGGTAGCATGTGGCTCTCGCTCAATAACGACGCTAACAGGGACGTTCTGTGTCTCTTCCTTGTGTATCCGACATCCACTGAGCCCGAAAACCGTCAAATTGGTACAAACGGAGAGACATTGAAAGGACAGAGGTAACATCCCAGCGTGTGGTTGGGAAGTTGATTGGAGGCTGGTTTTCCAGAACCGGCACCGTGCTAGCTTCCTTTGTGTGCTTTGTTCGACCGCCGTGGTCTGCCAATTCGGCGCTTTTCACTCTGACATTCGCATTGGGGAAATTGCGATGTAAAACCTCAGCAGGGAGTGTACGCAAAATCCAACAAGCCTTACTCAACTGGGAAAAAGAGAACCGTACTTATACTTATAAGCTTTGTAGGACTGTGTTTGAAGGTGAAGGAGAAAAACGTAAATCTTAACAGAATGGTCGTGACGGTAAAAATACACAGGGTTTAGTAAAATGGGGTAAATAACGGGGGAAGTGTGTGACACTGCTTTTTTTAGACCTTGATGGAACAAAAGTCATAAGTATTAGATGGATCCATAATCATCTGTGGGTAAAGTAACCACGTAAACATGTCCCAAAGCGTTACGAAATGCTTCGCCAACGCAAACCCTGTCACGACTGTATTCTATATAAGGTTCATCCTTTTAAGTGCTTTGCAGATGATAAGCCAATACATACATGGAAGGTTTCAAGTGTTACATAGAATAACTTGACTTTTACATCACCATATGTGCCCACCCAAAAGAGCTGTTTTTGTTTTAGTCGAGTTTTTAAAATAATATCTTCTACCACAGCTTAGAAAATGGTAAGATGATATGAAAGATCATAGAAAATGATGATTTCTTTGAACTGACTGTCTTTTATCGCTGGCAGTACTGCGTTTATTCAGAAGGAAAATGGTCCTCAAGGCGGAGGACTTTGAACCAATTAGGACTATTGGAAAACCTAACTTCAACCTGTCATGCATTTTACAACAGTTCCCGCCTACGCTGTATTGTTAGGCGGCAACACTTGACTGATGTTTGACCATAAAAGTTTAATTGAAAAAAGATTTGAAATAAAAGAAATTGTAGCATAGTCTCCAGCGTTGAAACGAAACAAGGCATACAGACGATGGACCTTTCGATTGATGTTCATAAAAGTCGATTAATTAATCAGAAAAAGGATTGAAAATAACAGAAATTGTAGCATAGTCTCCAGCGTTGAAACGAAACAAGGCATACAGACGATGGACCTTTCGATTGATGTTCATAAAAGTCGATTAATTAATCAGAAAAGGATTGAAAATAACAGAAATTGTAGCATAGTCTTCAGCGTTGAAACGAAATAAGGTATACAGACGATGGACCCTTGATTGATGTTTGGTCATAAAGTGGTTTAATTGGAAAAGGATTGAAAAAAACAACAGAAATCGTAGCGTAGTCTTAATTAAGCTTTGAGAGGCAATAAAAAACTTAGAATAAGGCAAACAGACGATGGACCTTTTGACCGTACATGCTACTTAACTTAATATGACCCGAAAACTCAAATTACGAGTCGTATGCAATTTATTTTATTTCATTTTATTAGCATTTACTATTAATGATGGATAAAATGAAATTACAATTCCAATGGGAACAATAGGTACATTTGACCGTTGTTTTAGCCTGCAAATGCAATGAAATAAGAGCGTAATCGGCTACTAAGAACATACTAAAATTTAGGTTTAGTCAAACCTGGAAATACATTGGTTCGAAACTGTCATGAACAACAAGAACATTTTCATATTGGTGGAGGTATGGAACTCTATCCTCTCTACTTTACACGCTCAATCTGTTACGCTTCCTCACATTTTTGCAGTGTCCTCCGGTTTCTTTGCTTACCACATGCTGATATTTACACGGGTAAAATATAGAAAACCAATATCCCCTACGTGTATCCTGTTTACATAAGTTGATTGCTCTTCTGAGAAATGTCGCCATGGCGTATTGAGCCATATAAATATGGATATGTTTTTATATATGGCGAGAAATAGAGAGAGAGAGAGAGATTTTCAAAGGAGAGACTGAAGCGATCTATCTTCTACCACGCAACACTGTTCTACAACAGATTTCTGTAGTAAATCATTCAACCTGTACCTTTTAATTGTATGTACATCTGTGATTTGGTTTCTGTAATTCCAAAATCGTATATTGTAAATGATGGCGTATGTAATTGATTGATTCTTGTAAAGTCTGTGATCCGACGACAAAATTTGATATTGCATGATTGTAACTTAGCGATAATTCAAATTTTCTGAGTCTGGCAATGCTAATATGCTAAAGTTTCTTATGTCTTCATGTCTTCAACATGCAATACAAATCTATACGGGAAAGAAGCCAGAGAAATGTTGTATCATTTATATGAAACATTGCCAGGGGAATATCCCTTGTTGCAAAAGAATAAAAATGACTAAATCCTAGTTCTCTAGACGCGTCGTACAAGACGGTAATTTAATTAAAGATGCATTACAATTCATGTATAATCTAATATATCAGGATAACTTGGTCAAGATCTAATAACTGATGCTTGGATGATATTGGATTTTCTATTAGACGTACTTGTCTAATTACACAGCACAGACAGCGAAAAGAATTCGGCTTCAAAGTCCTGATGACAATTGTAAAGCTTTAAAACTCTTCCACATGACAAACAATTTATTACCGCCTTTGTCTAGTAGAGAAGTCCAACACTACATGGTTAGCAATGGCTTTATTGTCAACATAGTTTCTTTGATTGATCAGTGACAAGGGATATTGAAGTAAGACCTATTTACCAATTTCCATTTGGCAAGGTAAAAGAAAAGGAAGCTGCGATTCCCATTTAAAGTTAGCTGTCTGGTTGGCAACGTTAGATACAAACTGCATCTTAAGTTTTTTTGTCTTGTTGAAGGATAACGTATTATCTTGTGAAGCACCTAATGTTCAGTTGAATGCTTGATGATTTGAAGACATCTTCTTGATATTATTCTAAGACAATCTTAGCCTTGATGACGATTGTGTCGATTGATTTCTACCAGAAAAAATATTATTTCAAGTCAGTTTAAGTCATGATGACGATAGCCCAAACTAATTTCTTTTTAACTGTAACTTGGTTTTATAATCAATTCAGTGTGCAACACTCCGACTACCAAGAAAGTCATTTTGAATCTTGTATCTTCCACACGTCTTGGATTTTGTCCATCATCAATTTTGAGCTTTCTGCCGTCTTTATTAAACGATTTCCCCCCGTCCTTGTGCGGGTTAACTTATGATTCTGTATTGAGAAGCAATGAGACATCAAAGCCAGACGATATCTCCGGCTAGACTTGAACCCGAGACCCTAGACACGGCTCCTAACAAGCAGGGCTTACATCGCTCCTCTAACTACCTGGCCTGTCCTTGTTCAGGAAATCTCCTGGGTTGTTTGACGAGGCAAAGGAAATCCTATAGTCATAACCTATTGTTCAATCGTTAAGTAAAACAAAGTCGTTTCAGACAGGTCATTTTTCTTCGGTGATTCCTACGGCTTGTGTATCTATTATGTAGCGCTGGCAATGGAACGATGTACACGGCTAGTATTCAGTGTAGTATTAGGGGCAGGAAAAGCAACAGGTTTTCGTGCTTTTTAGTCCATATTTAATATCCAAAAAGGGTTTTGTCTGAAACGGGAAAACTCAGTAGTTTTGCAGTTTCTAAAGAAGAAGAGATGAGTTGAAAAAGTGAACAAAATTCAAGTCACTGGCAATTATTCGCAACTATTGAGAAGAGAGAACCGATAACGATACAAAGCATTATGCGTTTGATCCAATGGGCGTTTTACCATAAAATCAATATGAAACAGGGATGCTATACGTACTGTAAGAACAAAAGATACGTTCTCACCATTCTGGCAGGAGTGTAGGCTAAGGCGGCTGATACCATGACGGCTGACATCAGTCCCAACATCAGAACCACTCGTGCTGCTGCTGCCATAGTTGTTTGTGATGGTTGTCGAACTGCTGAGAAGTGATAGCCCTGTCTTGTTCCAGTCGGCCTCCGTGCGCGATTGAGTTGTGGGAAGGTGTTGTGTGTACCTTTTGATGTATCTACTGGCCCTCGGGTCACGAGTAGGCGGCGAACACTTGAGCAGGCGCACAGTATATTTGCGCGTCGTGCCACGTGATGTAAGAGAATACGCCTCTGTAAATACCAGACCCGCTGAACTTTTTTCTCTGGAAATGTCACGCACGAAAACAGTTGGGGGAGGCAGGTGTGGTTTAGTTGATAGAAGCGCTGGGCAGAATGTTAGGCCAATTTACGTGGTCTTCTCTAAGACTCAGCCTGGGGTAGGGCTTCTGTTGTTGTATGTGCACTTAGTCGTGGTTATTTCAGAAATGGGGCAAAAGTGAGTGGACGAAACGAAATTAGTTTTCTTCTCTCAATGTACAAGTGTTCATAACTCGAATTTTGACGTCCATTCAAACATAGAAAGTATATTGTATAAATTTTCTGTGGATTTGTTTTACGGTCATTGAATTCCTGTTGTATTTTTATTTTGCCGTCCTCTTTATCAATTAGTATCTACGTTTCTGATAGAGTTGTATTTAGATCTTTGTTCTTTCGGATCGTATTTTTCACCTGTGTATCAATTAGGTTTCCTTTTTATTAGGAATATATATTTTACGACATTTTCTTACCAACATGTAATTCTAATTGCCCCTCCAAACAAAAGAATAGATTACAAGATCATACATACTATTGATATATTGCTGCAATATATATCTTTGTACCTGTGTATGGCAGGATCTCCATTTAAACTTTATACAATATGATTACAGACATTTCGATATTTTTTATATTTACATTAGTTGTCAGATTTGGAGTATGGGCTAAGGTAAAAGGTTTTACATTCAGCTTCAGGCAACTCACGCTTCCAGTAAAGCCCTAAGCGTTGTGTTTCATATTATCTTGACTTTGGGTTTTACTTTTCGCGTTATCTACAAAGGGGAAACCTTAAGTAACGTTTGCCGTTCCTGCCAGATTTAATCAAGATAGGCTCAGACTAGGACGGGGTCAACAAAAGACGGTCGTTACGTTTATGATTGCTACGTGCTGAACATCATGATGGGTTATTCAGCGCTTTGCAAATTGCACTGTGGGGTCGTGTGGCGTAACGGCTCGACTTAGAATCAAGAGGTCCTGGGTTCGAGTCCTGACATGCCACCGATCTAGTGCCCTTGGGGAATAGCTTTGCAAATTGCACTGTGGGGTCGTGTGGCGTAACGGCTCGACTTAGAACCAAGAGGTCCTGGGTTCGAGTCCTGACATGCCACCGATCTAGCGCCCTTGGGAAAGGAAGTCACCTTACACGACTTTCCTCACTTAACTCAAGAGAAGATGAGTCTTGTCCTGTCCTGTGTTTGTCCTCTGCGTTGGCGGCGGCATAAGAAAATAAGTTGATATAACTTGAGTGTGCCGTCACCATGTCTAGTCATGAAATATTGGAATTAAAAAAATTGTACTGACTCGCAGGGCCCCGAAATCGCCCATTCCATACTTTACTTACATATTGAACAAATCCACCTGTTAAAATCTCCCAGCG